AAACTTAGCTTCTCTTCACTCTCCTCCACCTCCTTATTTATTTATTTATTTACTTATTTATTTTTCTGAAAATTTTAATTTGTGGCATCTTGAAAGTTAGTGTGTTCCTCTTGCACTTTCCTTCCTCTTGGCACATTTTTGACCCCATGCGGGRTGGGAAAATGCTGCCRAAAATTYCAAAAAAATAAATATTCTCTCTCTCCTCACTCTTTACATTTTATTTATTTATTTATTTYTATTTATTCTTTTATTTTATTTTTATCTCGAAATTTTATTGTTTATTCTATTTTCTTTCCCCCTCCCCCCTTCCATTTTATCTTTTTCTTGATTAGGTCGCCGCTACCCTCCCCTAACCACTTAAACTCCGGTTAGGGTTTTCTTAGGGTTTAGGGTTCTTCTAAACCCCTTACTCTCCCGCCTCCTCCCGTCGGGCACTCTGGACCCGAACGGCTCCTCCCCCCTCGAACGATTTGGCGTTTTCTTCTCACCCGCGACCCGCTAAATCCGGTGTGAGCCGATTCACACATACTCACTCCGCTCCCGCGGTCCCCTTCCTCTTATCGGCGGGCCCCTCTCCCCACACACCCCCGTGAGCTCTACCTCCCTTTCCCTTCCGACCATGGAAGGAAGTTCCTTTGAGGAGATCACCGCGGCACCGTCCACCTCCCAGGTGAGCGTTCAGCCAGCGGGTCAGGGTCAGGCCCATGCGGATACGATGGACCTTCATGCCACCCTCGTAGCGATTAAGGCGCAACTTGGTACGCTTGGACCGTTGCAAGCGCAAATCAATGCGCTTGCCCTTGATGTCAACCGCCTCAAGGGCTCTCCTCATCACTCTCCCCACCGCTCCCATACCCCATCCCCTATCGGCTCCGAGTCCGGCTCCCCACGACTCCAGAGTCGAAGACATCGTGGTTCCCCCTCCTTTTCGGGCCAGACCCAACACTCCCCCGCAGCAGTGGCGAGTGTTGCTGCCGCTCAGACCACCCCGTCTGTTGCGACAGTTCTCCCGGCCACGGCCGCCCCTACCGTCTCTACTACTGCCGTAGGTGCTGTGGTCCAGGTAACGCCTCGAGGCCCAGCAGTTTCATCGACCCACACCAGTGTTGCTTCCCAGCTTCCTTCACCGGTCGCGGCAATACGGCTCCGCCCTCTTCTTCCCGCCTTTGTCCCCCCACCCCTACAACAGGGTACCGCCCAGGCTGGGATTCCTCTTCCCACTGGGAGACCCGCTCCGCCCCCTCCACGTCCGACCCTACGCACCCAGCGCGTGACCACTTTACAGGCCACCATTGCGCAGGCTCAGGCGGAGATTCTCGCTCTGAGACAGCCTCACCCATCACAGGCTTCCCACCCTTCTTCCTCTACCACCCCTTCGGTCCCCATGGTGCAGGCTCGTTTCCCTCGACCTGCTCCTCAGCCTCTTCCCTCCTACCTGGCTATTCCGGGACAGCTGCCCGCGGCCGTTGCCCCCTCGTCTGCTGGCCCATCCGCTAGCGGCCACGGCCCACAGCCTTCCCCCGCCTCTGCCCCTGCAGCGACCTCGACTTACACTGCCGCAGTGCACTTGCCTCGATCTCTCTCCCCCCGCCATCAGCACAGTGGACATCCTCTTGTGCGCACCACGGACATTCCCGAGTATGATGGCACAACCCGTGTCTCTCGCTGGTTGCTGATAGCAACGCGCACGCTCTCTATGACGACCACCCGTCAGGAGTTGTGGTGCGATGTGCCCGCAACCAAATTGCGAGGTAGCCCTTCCACCCCCGCGTGGGTGAGGTCCCCACTCTGACCGACTTCGCGGTCTTCCTTCAGGACCGTTTCGACGCTCGTCATGACGCCACTTACGCCTTAGACCGCGTCACCCAGACCAGATGGTCCGGGTCCTCTGTACCGGCCGACCTGGAACGTCACATTCGGGTGTTTCAGGATGCTCGCCTTGTTTGTGACGAGACGTTCCTACCAAAGGTCAGACTCACCGACCGGTTCCTTGTCAGCCTGCTGACTGACTATCGCCTAGAGCTATGGAGGCGATCATTCTCTTCCGCGGAGCAGGCATACGAGGCTGCGCGTCAGTACCAGAGGATGTGCAGTCGCTTCTCCGTCGCCCCATCCTCTTCGCGGCCAGCCGCCACCTCTCAGTCTCGGGGTACCACCCGAGGTCGCTCCTCGTTTGCTGGTCGTTTTCGTCGCCCGACCCGCCCTGGAGCGTCATTCTCTCAGCGCTACAGTTCTTCGGAGTACGGCGAGGACGCCTCGGCCGAGTTTGACCCTACCCTTGGGGACGCCTCCGAGGACATCGAGCTACGAGACGTCATCCAGTATCACTTGGGGACGCCCCGACGACACTGTTCCGGTGGCCGAGCGCTTGCTGATGGCCATGTTTGCCATGGGTCGTGCTCGTAGTCGGGTTGCACATGCTGGCGCCCGCACACCCACGGTTCCTCAGATAGACCTCCCGCATGGTTATGTCCCTCCTCGCGGAGCTCTATCCCCTGAGGAGCGTGCCGCCCTCGAGGCCTGGCACGACTGCCTTCGTTGCCGCCTAGATGGACACACCTCCTCACGGTGTCCATACCATACCACCCTCAATCGGCACTACGCTGACATCTCTCGTCAGCGTCGATCTCAGTCCCCCCCCGGCCCCGCCCGGCCAGCCCCATCCACCTAGCCACGGTGCACTGTGCCCCTGAGGCCTCGCACGTAGCCGGCTTTCCGACCACCGAGTCGCGGTTTGCCCCTTCGGCTACCCCACTAGAGGACCCTCAGGACACGATAGACGCAGTTCTCTCTGCCCCATCGTCTACCGAGGTACCGTCTGCCTCCCAGCAGACTGCCGCATCTAGCTCTTCTCGCTTGAGACTTCCGACGCATCGCGCCATTCGCACAGCCCGTTGTGGCGCTCAGCTGACGACTCGCGATGACGTTGTGTCATCTCTCCTGGACTTGAGCATTCTGCAGGCTCGTCAGGAGCG